AGCCACTGGTTCCAATCGGATCGGCCAATATCGATTAAGTATGGTGCATCGTGCTCTTGACAATGCTCACTATTACGACGAAGAAGAAGTGGTCTAAATATGGCTGTAACTTATCTCCCAGGTACGATTGAGTTTGGTGGTTAACCATAATCCAGTTTGACCAGTACCTGGACGTTTTGTGCAAAGAAATGCCAATGAGCCACCGAATCGTACAGAAAATACGTTTTGAGGTGTGCTCGTAGTTTGCAAATTCTTCTTACGTCCGAAAAATGTGTGATATGAGGGTGTTCCTGGAGGCTACAGAATAGACAGTCACTTCGCCGTGGCATGTCTGCAAAAAAGCCGCAGCGAGGACACACGTTTAGCATTAAAATCGTTTTTCAAACCGTCTTATGTGTGCGATTTAACACGAAGACGCAATATTTGCATTTTTATGGCAAAAAAAAACAAATTTTACAAAGCCTCTCCAATGCTTCAACACACACACAAAGCCGTATCGAGATGCATCACGCCTAATTAATGCGGGCCGGCCCAAATTCAAAAATCAGGCGGAATTTCAAATCCTTGCACCGTACAACGGAAGCGAATGACTCGAACGAACACGGCTTCGCATGGGCTAGAAGTGCAATGGACACCTGTGGTTGCCATAGCAATCAGCAACAGGCCGCTAACCAGAGGGGCTGGTGGAGGTTGTGGGGCAGCAGTGAAAACAAGGAATTTACGATGACTCACCTTCCGAATGAGCTGAAAAGAAACCAAAAAAACCAACGTTTTAGCATTTAAACAAGCCATAATCACTTGTGGACATGCCTCGGAGTGAATTCAAGCCTAGGGCGCACGCAAGTAGGTCGTACTAGGTGTTCCAGTGGATGGCATATTCGAGATGCATTCAAAAGATGAAACTCACTTTCTGAATAATGTAAACCAGGATGATATTGGCCAACTTCGCCACAGAGGGGTGTGGATCACTGGCTAGGGTGACAATGGTGTCCCACAACTGCGCAAATATGCTCTTCGACGCTGTTGGGGAGTCATCTGGAAGGGCAAGGAAGTAGGTGAGTGAGGCGTGGAGGATAGGAAAACAACCGCGTCGCGGGGGGGGGGACTAACCACCTTGTACAAACACTGAAACCTCGTACACGCCAAGACTATCAGTTTGGTGTTGAGACAGTGCGAGACCGTTGCCGGCACGACGGAGATCCCGCTGGCTTCGAGAGCGAATCAGATTGAATCGGGAAATGCCGAATTCGGCGACGCCACGCCAAAGCGAAGTTGCCCCCGACGGTGAGCCGAACTGAGCAGCCGCTACAAAATTGCCACTCGGGTGTCAGACAGAGCAACCAGCCAAACCCTACGGTATGCGTTGGAGGCGCAATCTTACCGACAGGGGAGCCCTGCGCGTGGGCGGAGGAGGCCTCTTGTGCCAGCGGAGGCGACGGCTGTGTGCGCAGCATTTGCAGGACATCCTGGTAGTGGTAGTAAGCCTGCTCCACCAGGCGTGATTCGTATTGGTACACGAAACCGCACAATGCCACGACTAATTCACAGCGCACCAGTGGACTGGGATCCAGAGTCTTCTCTACGAGGCGAACACCCACTTCGCGATTGAGCTACGCGAAGAAGAACGCACACAGGATCAATCCCACACGGCAAGCAGCCACCCGAAGTTAAGTAGGTGTGGATGAGCCCACGTACAATTTCAGCCTCATGGATTAGCCCGGGTTCGGAGGAGTAATTGTCGATGAGATTGCCAAGAGCGAAGACAGCCGCAGCTCGAACGCCGGGCGAAGGGTCGCCGAGGAAGCGGAAGAGAACGTCGTCGATGATGTTTACCTCCGACTGCACCGCATGCCACCGCGCCTCATCGCAACGAAACCACAGACGTCCGAGGGCAAGGAGGAGCCAGATCTTGAGGTGGTGGCAGTCGGGCGTCGCGTTGAGCAGCTCGTCGGCGGCGATCTTGATGAAGGACACCGGCTTCGAGGTGTAGTAGGCCTGCTGGAAGACGGGGTCTGGCACCCCGCCACCGTCGCAACGCACCAGCATCTTGGCCAGCGCGAAGGCGGCTATTGTCCGGACGAGGGGCGAGAGGCTGGAGGAATCGCGCAGGCAATTGACGAAGTACTTGTAACCCGACTCGCGGATACCCTCGTGGCGGCTGAAGTCGATCTGCGCGGCGCTGATGATCTTGCCCCAGATAAAAACCAGGTGCGGTTTCACCTCGGCCACGTTGGAGTTGAAGAGGCGCACAATGTAAGGGAGGATGCCCACGGTGATGCAATGCGAGGCCGCCCAGGCACCGAGGTCAAGAAACTCAGAGAGGAGCTGCAGCGCGCGGACTCGGTGGGTCTGCGACAAAAGGATCTGTCGAAGACAAATAACATTTCAGGCATAGGATTGCTTCGTGCGGGTAACACTTTTGTCTCCCCTTCACCACAGAGATGCGAATTCGATCGACTGTCCATTGCTAGACTTGGTTTTGCGGTCTTACGTGGCTTGAGCTGGTTGGTTGTCAAGCCAGTTAATTTTGTGAAAGGCGGTTTGTTTTGCTGCATGGACTTTTCGCGTGTGCTGCCTGCTTAGCAGAGGACACGCATGGAACTGCGGGGAGACGCGGTGAGCTACCAAATAATGCTAGTGTGCTACAACTCCCCAACACCTTTCCCTCCTCCTCCTCCGCTTCCTCTTCTTCTTCTGCTTCCTCTTCTTCAGCTAGATACCGCTGTTGCCGACACCAATTCCGAAAAATACGACTTTCTCGGCTAGAGATTAGCACGAGGTCTTTCCGCGTGCCTTTTTTGAACCAAGTGGAAAAAAAGCACAAGAAGACGTGGCTAAAGTTATTTACTTGCTAGGTGAAGACGAATTCCAGAATGGGTCCACGCACTTCTGGCATTT